GAGCACTCAGGAAAGCAAACCATGAAAGCCTCCACCACACCACTTGTTTCACAAGGAGGGCTTGTGCCAAGGCTATGGGTGTGTTTCCCTGATCCAGAGATATGGGATACAGGGCACTCAATGACCCTCACCCTTGGGTGTTTGTTTGTTGTTTTTGTTTTTTTTTCCTTTTTTTTTTCTTTTTTTTTCCCCCAAAAAGAAATAAAACAAGTCCCTCCTCAGCCATCTCTTGGTACCTAGTGTTTCTGATGAGCAGAAAAAGATCACCCTAAATCTCACACTTTGCTACAGCTTCAGTGCCTGCCAGCACTCAAGGGCATCCAGAGTGGTGGCTAAAGACCTCTAATGAAAAACAGCAGCAGAGATCTCACCAGCAGGCCTGGTAACATGCAGCCATGGCACTGTGCTCTGATGTAAATAAAGCACAGCTGCACCGACCAAAATGGCTCCTTGTGCCCTCTCTGCCTCTTAGGTCCTAGCTGAGCACTTTACTGACGGAAGCAGTTTGTGCCCAGCAGCCCTGCAGACCCCAGGCAGCCCTCAGAGGATGAGCTAAATTAGCTTCACCTCCTACCTCACGAATGATTCCCGGCTATGCTCTAGCCACGTTGCTAACGATGATGTAAGAAACTTTAATAAGAGTCTGATTTGCACGTACCAGGTTTAACTTTTTGGAGACAGCTGTTCAAGGAGTCCTCTGGTGACGGGCACAGGCAGGCTCTTCTGGGGCCCTGGAGAACAAAGACGTTCACAGGAACACTTCTGCAGCAGCAGCTTGGCAAATACGGACATCCTCAGATGACAGGACAATTTATTCCCTCTCTTAGACTAATCTTTGTAACTTTGCCTGTTTTTGGAAAGAAGTCTTGAGTAGTCTTAATGGATATTGTATTGACACCAGCAATACTGCATAAAAAGCTCCGTACAAACAGCTCTCCCCCTTTCCTTAAGCAGCTTTTTGCCCACCCCCCTTTTCACACCACAGAACCTACCAGGACACTCATGGTGGCTCTGCACATCGCTCGAAGGCTGCCCAACAGGTGAAGGCTACCTTGCTGCTCCTCATGAAAGACGAGAGGAATAGACCCAGATAGAGCTCTTAGGCATATCCACCTCATCTTACGATCTTCAAGTCTCCTACAACTAGGGATTTTTTTTTTCTAATTTGCTGCTATAAGCTAAAATCATGTCCCATCCCACGTGCTGAGCCCATAGGTTACATGAATGCAAGTCACTCCTCGGTCATCTGCCTAAATGCCACAGGAGAGCAGCCTATGTGCAGCAGCTTCACAGCCTCTCCCCTTCAACGCCAGTGGGAGGGAAAAGCGTGGCCAGGAAAAGGGAAGACCATTGCATTTCCACGAGCCTGCATGTCAACGTTAGCGGATTCGTATTTACGCCGGGAGCGCCCACTGCTTGAGGACAGGCAGAGGTCCGAGGGAAGCCAGAACTCACAGCTGCGGCCTGCACACTGGCAGGGAGCCGCAGTCGGGGTGCACTGCGTTAGCCCCCATCTCCCCCAGCACCGGTGAAGAGCTGTGGTCTCACACCAAGGAGGCAGGGGCTCCACTCCACCCGCTTCGAGCTCTGCCTCTCCCAGTGCCTTCTGCTTCTCAAGGCTGGATATGCTTCTAACTTCTTCTAATGCAACGATCTGCTCCTCTCTTTCCATCCGTAAAAGGCAACAGTTCCCAAGCATAAGAGTAGCTGGGCTGTCTTTACCCAAGTTAACAGGGGGGTATCGACAAAGCATGTGTAATTATGTGAACACAAACCTACTTTATCCTTTGGAGTATCTCAAAATTTTTAGCTACTTAGTGTAAAGCACACAGCTATGAATAAAAACCTTTTTTCCATTAATGCTTGTTTAGGTCAAAGCCCTAGGATTAGCAGTGCTCTTTAAGTATTTTATTAATGATTAAAAATTTAAAGTATTTGGTCTAAATTCAGTTTTGCTCTTTCATTAAGTACCCTCTCCATGACCAGGATGTAGGTTTGAAGTCAAAATATTTGTAGCAAATCTGTCCAAGTGCAGTGGGAGATCTGAACTGTCCCTGCAAGAAGTAGAAAAGCGTTACACGGGCACAGAAAATAACTGATGCACTCTCACACACACCTGTATTTATCTGTTTCTATAGAACTTGATCCTCACAGGCTTAGAGCACCACTCATCTAGTGTCATTACTGAAGTAAATAAAAGCTAACTACAGAAAGCTCAGATTTTGGAAATAAAAAGACATCTATCCATTCTGATTTGATATATGCAGCTCTCTACACCTATACACATAAGTACACAACAGCATCTATACGTGTGCATGTACACAGGCTTACTGTTGTAAGATCCTCCTCTTCAACCAGTTTACCACAGGGAAATCTGTATTTTGAGGGGCTGAGCGTGCCGCACCTTTTTTTGCCTTTAGCCTTTCAAGCTTTCCTGCAGGTTTGAGCAGGGCACCTGAAACAGCCGCGTTGTTCAAAGCAGCTCAGAACAGATCTGACGCACGATTTTGTGTTCTTCACAGGCAAGGAGACAGTTACGGAGTTGTCTCCGTCTGTGGTACGGCAATGGAAACTCTCAAGCAGTAAAATCTGTTATGAACAAAATAAGAGACGTTCCAGGGCATGGAATTTGTCCGAACTGAATGACAAGAGATGAGCGCTTATCTTTTTGTGGAACATCCGTATGGAAGATGTGGCATTCTTAAGATATCTTGATACTCAGTTATGAGTAGGACTATTTATCCTACACCCTACTTCTGCACGCAGGAAGGGAAGAGCTAATAGCAGAAGAATTTTCTTTCGGCGGTGGGAACAACTGCATGACGATTATCCCCCACCCCGTGTGGGATTCCATCGGAGATCAAGGATGCCCTGGCCAAGTGTTGGGGGCATTGCTACATGTTTGTGGAAGTCTCTCAGCTTTTATTAATTAGATTCCTGACAACGCAATAAAACCCTGTAGCAGAAAGCCACACTGCTCATTCCTGAATCATATGAAATCAGTCACCATTTTATGTACAAGTTTTGAATTACAATCTTCAACTTCTCATCAGAAAAAAGACCAAAAAGCCTAAAAAAAAGCATTTTTGGCAGAACTGCACAGTGTACAGAAGCATACTTTCAATTACACAATATCTTACAGAACACATACTGTAACAAAAAGCAGAGCCTGTTACCTTTTCTGAGAAGGCAGTGCCCAGACAAAACTAGATGTTTCACCTCCATTATTAGAGGAACAGCTTTCACTGGACAAAAGAGTACATGAAAAAATTCCTGAACACTCCAGATAGTTTAACAGAAAAATAAAAGTACATCTGTAAACAACTTTAAAACAAGAGCCTTATGCAAATAATAAAGGTCACTGAAAGTTAAGCTGTTAAACTCTTCTTAGCCCAAACTGCTATATTCTACCCTTATAGTTTTTTATTTTATGATACACAGATTTTGCCACACAGAACACTTCACTGAGAAATCTGGGCAAATACTTTTTGAATTTTTGGTGGAATTAAGAAAGGGACAATTTGAAGGCAAAAGGTCAAACTCCAAATTGCCCCTGAAAATTACAAGAGCAGTATAACCTAACTATTGAATGGAGCCACATTCAACAGTGCATAGTAGCACAGCACTTACTTTACAATCTGAGACCCTTTTTAATGTAAACCCTGAAAAGTCACAAGCAGCTGTTAGAACAGACTTTTCTATTATGTACCATTAAGTTCGCATTGCATTCACTTTCATTGCTCAAACTTTTCCATGAAGTTACTTTTCATATAGAATACCGATTTACCTTAAGTGTATCTGTTTGACGACAAGGCAAACTGTAAAAACTGTCCTGGGAAATGATGTTGTGTACATAATTATCAACCATGTGTTTGAAGTTGAGCATTCGTATTTATGCTGCTCTACTTCATGCTTCAGCGCATGTTCAGTAAGCTGCTGGTCACTGAGTGTGTCCATTTTGGTAGACGGACAGATGTATGTGAACAGCAATGCTTTGGATAACTTGCGCTATTCCTAATACTACAGTTATTTTCTCTGCCAATTACATTTTGCTATAAATATGTGTGCCCTTAAGTTGATCCCAATATCAGTTTCAGCTAACTAATCAAATTATCTGCTAAGGTTTTGGGAATGATAACCCTTCCTTTATTTAAATAAAATGAGGGAGGGGTTTCTAACTCCCAAAGGTTTGCCAACAATAGATTTATTTTCAAGACAGGATGACACTGTTCAGTAAACTGTTTGTCATCTTTGTTGTTCACAGATACACCCAATAGTATTCATGTTTTTTATCAGGTAGGCAAGAAGGGGAAGAGAAAATACTGTGCGGTTTTTACCCTTAATGTTTTTCGAAGTTCTGCTCATGGGCTTTTACGAATAATTATTCATTTGAAATAAGTGTAAGTCAAATTTCAGATTACTTCTCTCATAATTTGAGGGCTCAGCAGCTAAACTTCAATTTTCTATTTTCCTTTTGCAAAAGAGTGTTATTGAAACCCTGCCCACAACTGAGTACACCGAGAGCTTATGTAAGGAATAATTTCTCATTGTATTTAGCAGTGCCTCATTTTTGTACCAGTTAGAAGTTAATTCATAATCCAAATAATCAATCTGCAATGTAAACAAGTAGTTATTTTCTCCCATGTAATAGTGGTAAATAATGACACTGATCATTACCGATTCTGCTTGAGTTCATTAAATGCAATTCTTCAGCCACAAAGGCAGCATGCAGTCTGTGATGGACTTCCTTTGAACTACATTCAAATGAGTGGAATAACTGAGATTCCTGATGGACATCTAAGCCGTTTCCCTCATTTTCTTAATAGCTTCCGCTATTTGCATACTCAACTCCATTTCATGATTTGTTATTTAAAATAAATTCATTTCCCCAAACCCTTCTCTCCCTATGTAAACCAAACTTATTTACATTTATGGTAAATGCTTTTCAGCAAGTAAGTTCTAAGAAAAAAAAAAAATCCAAGAAGTGGTATAAAGGGAGCAAGTATTTAAAGTTTTGTATTAATTTGCTTTCTGAATTTCCTTCCAAAGATGCTACAGGGACAAAAGCTTTAAAGGTTTGAAACACACTTTCACACATTTTGATTCTTTCTCTCTTTTATACAAGGGACCAACTTTGCCCAGTGAATCACCTTCATAACTTTTGCCCAGTAACTAAATGAAACTGCATGTCATTCCCCCCAAGAAAGTAAAGAAAATACAGCCTTTTACTTCAAATATTTTATGAAAGCAAGATTACAAGAAATATATTAGTCAAAATGCAGGGCTATCAAGCACTGAACCCAGGATGCTGGCATCAATTTGCCTACCATTTTGCACGTGGAAAAAATACACTACGTCTACAGGTAAAAGGCATCACTAATGCATCATGAATTACTCTGGTCAGCCAACATCACCTCTGCAGCTTGATGCATGTTTAAGTCCTGAAAATAATTGTCATATAATAGTTTGAGATGAGACACTGGAACAAAACCATTCTTAAACAGGAAAGTTTTTGTTTTGCTCTTATCGAGGTAACACCAAAAACTAAAAACAAGATCTTACAATTTAGCAGCCACTTTAACACTTGTTAGGCTAGCCTTCACACAAGGAGCATGCATACAGCCACTGTTCTTGCTTTAAATTGAGGGCTGTTGGTTAATTCAAGTCACTGTTTTCTCACCTTATTTGATTAACCTGTTGAACTGGATGTCCACCATAGGAAAAAGAAAATTAAATGATGTTAAGTGTAGCAGACAAATACAGATCACACCAAGAAGCTAACACTCATGAGTTGTCATAATAAGGGATAATAACAACAATAAAAAAAATATCAGTCTTTTCTGTGCATATTTTTCATTTGAAAGGTCCCAGGAAATCATGATGTGCCTGGCCGTTTCTGTTGCTGATTTCTGATGACCTCTAATTGTTTTTTGCATTGCTGATAGTAAGTTGAGAGACTTTTGTTTTCATCTAACAGCTTTTTATGTTCTTGTACCAGACGGGATGTGTTTTGCTGGTCTTTTTCATCCTGGTCCAGTTCTGCTATTAGTTCTTGCCTAAAATAAAAAAAAAAAAAAAAAAAAAGTAATTTGTTTTTTATTGTGTGTTTATGTTTGT